TTTGAAATCTGGGAAGAACTTGAGTGTAGTAAGCGATTAAAAAAAAAAAAAAAAAAAAAAGAGAGAAAGAGAAAGAAAGAGAGAGAGAGAGAGAGAGAGAGAGAGAGAGAGAGAGAGAGAGAGAGAGAACTGCACTGTAGACCCTAGGTACAAAGGAAGAAAAGGACAGGAAAGTACATATAGCAAATCCAGCTCCCCTTGCGACCACTGTCCTTCTGTGTGCCTTCTGCTCTTTCTGCATTGTTTTGCAGTCATTTTGCGGGCTCATAAGTGCTGCCTTGCGTGTAGGTACAGCACCGCCGGGACTTTCCAGGAGGACACCCATCCCAGTACCTCTCTGTGCATCCAGCCTTGGTCGCTCTGCATCATTGTGTTGATTCTTTGCCTCCCTCTGCATGTTTTGCCCCATAGGTTTCCGGGTGTTCAAGAGTGCTGTCTTGCCTGTAGGTACAGCATCGGGACTTCCCATGAGGTCACCCATCCCAGGACTATTCCAGCCCAACGGCGCTTGGCTTGCGAGTTCGGATGGGATGGGGCACATTAGCCGTGGTATGACCGTACCACCCTTCTGCTCATTCACAGCAAATCCAACGTTTTTTTTTTTGGGATAATTTGCAAAATACCCCCATAAGTTCAGATATATGCCAAGATGCCCCTAAAAGATGTGGGTAGTGTGGAATGGCCCTCTGATTAGAAAAACATTTTGTGAAATACCTCTGGTGTCGGTTGGACCCCCATCTTTGCAATGTACCCTTACCGGGTACTGTCCAACTTTGCAAAATGCCCCAGTACTTGCCAGCTTCTCTTAGGCGCTATTGCAAAAGGCCAAGGCCCAAACGGGGAGGTCCAGATTGCGAAGTTGCACACCTGCCAGACAGGGGCACAACACAAAGATTTCGGCCCAAAAGGGCATTCCGCTCTACCCACACCTTTCAGGGGCGTTTTGGCATATATCTGACTGTATTTTCTCTTGCGACAATGATGAACGAACGGGCCACTACGGGAGCGCCCAAATTCATGCGACTAGAAACGCTTCTACTGTCTTTTCTCTTGCGGCCGATATATGGGAAAGGTACTGGTGGTTTAAACTGATTGCTTGCTTTCCATTTACCTTGCCTGACATCATGCAGGTCACCCCGACCTTGATGCTTCCGCTTTTCACCCAGGTAAGCCATGCCAGGTCGTTTTCGAGCCCCTTTTAACCTAGGTAAGCCATGCTGTCTTTTCGGAGCCCTTTTTAACCCAGGTAGGTCATGCCGGCTCTTTTTTGAGCCGCCCCATTCTTATCTAGGATCGGTGGATTCCCAATAGCGGTTGCCTCCAGACTTTGTTGGAGGGGGAAGGGGGGGGGGGCTGTCTTTTTCAGTCCTTAGTCTCCTCCACAGTTAGATAAGGGCGGGCCAGAGAGGATTTGGCAAAAATGGGTCCCATTTTGAAGGATTTGTGGGGTTGCCATCCCACAAAAGGGGTCGGATTACGAACCCCATTTTCTGGTGGATGCAGATTAGGACCAGTGGGTGGGTGTTAGACTGTTAGTCAACCACATTGCGACAGATGTGTGTGGGTGTAAATTCTGGATTTGGAGGCGCGGGCGCAGGGGCCAAGGTATATCATTATTCCCTATCAGCAATCCGATCAGGATTTTGAAGGTTCAGGCTTTGCCCAAGTTCGCGGAATCCAGCCTCCGTAATCTCCCTTTGACCTCTTGGCTGTGTTAGCGTGGTCCTGCTCGACTCTGTAGATAGCCCACATACCTGTGGGATCCGTGTCCCACAGGTCTCTGACCCACCTGTGGTTCCGTCGGAAGTTCGTAGAAAAGTGATCCGCATCCATCAGAAGATTGGTACATTCCCAAATGTTTGGAGAACAACACTACGTGCCCACCCTGGTCAACACTACGTGCCCACCCTGGTCCACCATCCTGCCAGCCCCAGGGGACAAACCCAAACCTTACATGAAAAGGGTGGGGTCATTTGCTTTCCCGCGGGAAGCAAATGGCCTTTTTCCCGTGCATGAGGGCGCTGGGACATGGCGGGGGAGCTCCGCCGCTGAAACCCTACCTTCTTCACCCGAATAAAACGTACGGTCATTATAGCTGAAATTTGGGCCACGTTTTAGTCTAGATACCGCATTAAGCAATAATCACAATACTTTTTATTTGGGTGAAGAAGCTAGTCGTGACTAACTTAGTGCTGCAGGCCTTGAGCGCTCAGCTCTCTGCATCACAGGATCCCCCTCAATGACACCATAGTTCACAGTCCTTTCATTCATCTGGGTCTTTCCGAATTCGAACTGAGGTCTATTTAGAAGTGTCCCTAGAGCGCGACGAGCGTTCTGAGCCGACATCCTAGCAGAGCAACTGTCGGAGTCTTTCGAGGTTTGGAACCCAGGACCGAAGTTTCAAGTGCATGTGATCACGAATGAGGTGCAGTCGTCTTGCTTGAACCAGCCAAAATGTAGAAGGCAAGAGATAACTACAGAAGAGGTTTTGGCGGTCAAGCGCAGGTTTCCGGGCCTAGTATTCTCACTAGTAGATAGGAACCCCGGTGAGATTGTGTTGATGCGTACGAAGGTGTACTATGAAGCGATGGGAGATTTGTTTGTAAGGAATTCAGGGTATGTTGCAATTTCTTGTTCTGAGGATGAAATTTGGGAGAAAGCGTGAGCAGACTTCAGTGGCAGGGGGCTGAGCAAGTTGGGTAGGTGGGATCACACAGGAAGTGTCGGTAAAGCGTGTGTATTACCTAAACTCAAAACCGTAATACGACCTTTCGTGAGAGTATCCGAAAGCAGGTTGTGACTCTTCGACGGGAATACCGGGCAAAAGGGTACCCCGACGGATTTTTCGCAGGGGCCCTCCGCAATTTTTCGCAGACGCGGGATGAGTAATGGAAATTGGCGGCAGCAATTGTAGAGATGTCATAGACTACTTATAGGATCTTTCCTCTAGGCTAGTCCTCCTATTTCGGCAATACGTGCCTCAAGCAGCTGCCAACAACCGACGCTTTGCGCCGTTTGTCGGGAGCAGCTCAGGTTGTCTGGAAAGACAGTGGATCGTAGGGTTTGTCGGAAGATGGGTGGAAGGGCGGTGGACTATGATGATAATGCTTCCTAATTGAAATCCCGCCAAGCGGGTACTGTCTTCTTTGGACTTGTTTCTGCGATCATGTTTCGCGATTGCCTGTGTGATTTTCTCACCCATATTTAGAAGTGGTTCATGCGTGTATGATTAAAAAAAAAAAAAAAAAAAAAAAACCCTCATGGTTCTGGCTCCTTGTCCGTTCTGTGAAGCATCAGTCCGGTTCCTATTCCACGGGCAAGGCAGCGAAGTTACAACGTGAGCGCACTCTAGGCTCCTCCCCATTATGGTTGGGAGGCCCGAATAGACGGCATTGATTACTTCCCATGGGAATGATATACCACCCCTCACCCCTGCCTACCTTCTTCCCCCGAATACAACGTCCGGTCATTATAGCTGTATTTGAGGCATCTTCCAGTCTAGATACAGCTATAATGACCGTATGTTGTATTCGGGGGAAGAAGGTAGTCTGGCCCAGCTAACTCAAGCCCGGACTTGCCTGAGTCCCGCGGGTCTTGGATTCTAACTGGCCCCGGAACCTGAATACTGAACAGAGTTCCCCCTCAGCCTTCCGATGGGTGTATGATTTTTTTTTTTTTTTTTTCGTTTTTGGTTTCAGCCACTGGCCTTCTTGAGTCTCTTTTTTCCTTCTTTTCTTTTCTTTTTTAATATCATAATGGAAAGCCACTATCACAATTAATTGGAGGCTGCGGATCAAAGGCTGATGATGGGAGACCTTTTTTCTTTTCTTCTTTTTCCAATGTTTATATCTAATCCTGTGGAACAAAGCATCCTTGCAGGTGCGAGTAGGACAGCTATCGGAGAGTCTTTGACTAGTGGAAAATAAATAAATTAATACAAAATACAGGCTCGAGAGGAGAAGACCAGCAGAAGTAGAAGACGAAGAGAGGAACCAAGAAGAGATGGCGGGAGAGGGGAGAAGAGTGAAAGAGTGATTAGAGAAGAGGAGGCATGGAAAAGGAAAAAGGGGGGGGGAGTGGGGTAGACAGGGAAGCGGAGCCCGGGAACGGGAGGACGTTGTCATGATTTGGGGTTGTTATGACATGGAAAAGGGGGGGGGGGGGGGGGGGGGGGGGAGGGGGGGGTGAGTGGGGAAGACAGGGAAGGGGAGGCTGGGTATGCACGGACCTTATCATCATTTGGGGTTGTTATGACGTAAGGGGGGGGGAAAGGGGGCGGGAGAGGGGGTGAGTGGGGAAGACAGAGATGCGGATGCTAAAGATGCACGCAGCTTATTATTATTTTGGGTTGTTATGACGTAATAACTTGGCTTCTGAGGGGTAAAAGGGGGGGGAGGGGGGCGGGAGAGGGGGCTGAGTGCGAGAGACGGGGAAGCGGAGGCTGGGGATGCACGCACCTTATCATGATTTGGCGTTGTTATGAGGTAATAACTTGGCTTCTGATCTGGCTATGGCATTAAGCAGAAATCTACCAACGGTAATAAAGCGAAGAGAGTTGCGGTTCTTGTCGGGTCGGGGGGGGCCATCATGAGAGACCAGCACACCAGGAGCAGGAATGATGTTGACAACAACAGTTAATTCACGAGCCCAGCCCTCGTCACCACCTCTCCACTGAAACCTGGAAACAGCGCACTTGGGTGCACCACTTGCTCTGGAGTGACTTCATGCATTCCCCCTCCCTCCTCTGCGCTGTGCACGTGTGAGCACGCGCCACTGTCCAGAGGATTGTGTGGCTGTTTGCACGACACAAACAAGCATGAGGCTGGTCACCACCCTATCCAGGAGGCTATGTGGCTGCTATGTTGATGCTACAGTTCGCTCAAAGGGGCTCACGTTATGCAACAGTTTTGCAGGGGGCCTGAAACGCGCTCAGTCTGTGGTTCAGACAGGTCGCAATTGGCACAGTTACTTTCCAAGGTCGCAGCCGCTGGGTTGTAAAGTCCCGGAGCTCAGCAGGGCCATCTGTACTGCAGGTTCTGCATTTGTGAAGCTGTCGTCAGACGCAGTCTCTGCACACAGCTTAAGGAGGTTGGCATCGCCAAGCTTTGTGGCCAAGGGTTTTGCCTGTGGTGTTCTTCTCAAGCCGACGACTGTCAGAGCACTTGCGAACCCATTTGCTGGACTCGGAATCACCACCACTTTGAGGGAAGGAGGCCAACCTTTGGTGAAGGGGGTGAGGGCACTGTCTACTGGTGCATTGGGTGAAGCTGTAAGGAATTTTCTTCCAATGGGGGCTGTAGGTTCTGTGCTCCTCAAGCTGGCCCTTGTCGACCTCGCTCTTCAGTTGGGAGTGGGCGCCGTTTCGTGCGTCTTTAAGTCCGAAAAGCTTTACGATCTCGTTGGAACAGGAAGCTTCCTTCTTATTGGAGGGCTGGCATTGGTCGGCGGCGGTAATTTCTATGCCCGACAGGTTCTCGTGACGTCACTGGTAACGCTATGGAGTGCTCGTCTGGCAAGCGCACTCTTCAGCCGAGTTTTACACGAGGGGAAGGACAGCCGATTCGACAACGTTCGCGATAACCCGGCCAAGTTCATGCTGTATTGGACTGTCCAAGCAGTATGGGTCTGGGTGACTCTCCTTCCGGTCATGATGCTCAACGTGAACCCGATCAACACTCCTCTGGGCTGGATGGACGCACTGAGTTTGGTGTGCTGGGCAGGAGGATTTGCAATAGAATCGATTGCAGACCAGCAGAAGAAAACGTTTCGCGAAAACCCGGCAAACAAGGGTCGTTGGATCGACACCGGCCTTTGGAGGTACAGTCAACATCCGAACTATTTTGGGGAGATGGTGATGTGGTGGTCCATCTTTAGCCTTTCAGCACCTGCTTTGCAGGGCCTTCAGGTCTTGGGAGCGGTCTTGAGCCCACTGCTGGTTATGCATCTGCTCATCAACGTTAGCGGGGTGCCATTGCAGGAGGCCGGCAATAAGAAGAAGGGTTGGTACAGCAACTCCTCTTACCTTCAGTACCGGAAAGAAACACCACTCATAGTCCCTTGGCCGTGGAAGAGTCCGAAATCCACTTACGGGCAATAGAAATGTGCAGCGAGAGCAGGAGGAGACGGCGAATCGGGACGACTTTACTCTTACGTTGCCAAGCCGGCAGCTGTCTGCTAACCAACATACAACAAGCTTACAGCTGGTAAGGAAGCAGTCACAGCCTAAGGGAAGGTCAGAGTCACTTCGAGCTTTCCGCTTCCACTTCACAAAGGTTCACGATGGTGAGAATTAGTCAGCCACTTCAGACTGCTAGATAAAAAAAAAAAGTTCACTTGGCGATGGATTAAAAGAAGTTCACTTGGCGATGGATAAAAAAAGTTCACTTGGCGATGGATAAAAAAAAGTTGACTTGGATGTTAGTTGTTGTACTCCATTGATGTCAAGTTGTTAAGCTTGAATTCCCGCTGCCGAGCAGTGGTTCTGATCTTTCGACAAACGCTTGTTTCCTATGATCATGGATCTTATGCTTGGCGGGGATAAGCAATGGGACTGGTGCCCTCCCAGAATATAAAGGGGTTTTTATGTCTTGGGAAACACACACACACACACACACACACACACACACACACACACACACACACACACACACACACACAAGACTGGTC